ATACTGTTTTCCTAATCAATGTACATTTATTAAACACTGACCATGTGAACGACACTCTTCTAGGGGCAAGGGAACCAAGATGAAAATATACTGTTCCTCTACTCAAGGAATTTATAATCCACAGGAAAGATATATCACCATCATCATCATCTTCTTTGTCATGACATTTAGATATCACTTTAAGACTTGTAGGGTTTTTTATATACATAACCTCATTTATAAATATAAAACAAGATAAAATATAACAAAGGCAAAGCAGATATCCAGACAAAACATTCTAGGAAATTTTGAGGAAAGACAGGAGAAATGTAATTATTTCTGCCTATAGCTTTGGTCCATTCATCCAGTGATCAACCTTACTTTTAAAAGGAAAAAAAGAATCTGTATTCTATATAATCATTAAAACATAACAAATATTTAAACAACTAAAGTGTTTTCTTAACAAAATCATCCAAGTGCAAAAGAAAAGTGGTGTTGAAATCCTTTCCGAATTTCAGTGAAACGAGAGTCCTGGGAAAGAGACAGAGACAGACTATCAACTGTTCATAATCCAGCTGTTAGGAGAGTTCTTTGAAAATTTTCATTGACTTCAGTCAAACCTTTGATCTTATTTAGAAGGAAAGGTTGCTGTCTACATTGTGAATGTCTGGAATTACCAAAAGAACTAATGAAAACAAATAATGCCAGTGTTCCTAAACCACAAGCTGGCCAGAGCAGGGAATATGGAGAACGAATTGATTCACTGACGTAAGAAGACACTGATGTAAAGGAGGAGAATGGGCAGCAAAATTATCAGCTGATCCAGGGGCAAGACATTCAGTAATAGTTTCTACCTTTCATTTTAATGGTTTGCTCAAATCCTAGCATCCCAGAATCCTAGCATTTCAAAGTCAGAGTGCCCCCCAAGGTCAACGGCTCCAACCTGCACCTGAGCAGAAATGCCTTTCACTACATCTCTGACAAGAACCTACCCACCCTCTACTTGAAAACCTCCAAAAACAGAAAAAACCAAACTTCCCACATAGATCCATTTCTCTTTCAGGTAGTTCTAATCATTAGGAAGAGTTTTCATTGCCTCTCAGGCTCTTCTATGCACTTATAGTAGCTCTGCCAGGGCTCTATGTCTAGATCTTCTCATGGATGAAGAAATCAAGATGACCATAAGTAAAAAGTCAAATAAATTTTGTTCTATCTAGCCAGGAGAAACCTTTGACACATTTTCTTTACCTTTTTCTCACAACACTCCTAAGCCATGCCTAGTGTCACAGCTTTCTTCATTAGTCAGTCAATCCACAAGCATTTATTGAATACTTACTTTGTGCCAGTATTGTACCAAGCAAGGGTAATACAAGTTGGTTGGTTATTGTTTTTCATTTTCAAAGTGGACCAAATGACATCACTATGTTAGAGTCAAGTTATGATGTGTCCTGACTGTGGCTGATCAGACCAATAGGAGCTCAGAAGGCTCTACCACAGGTCAGGCACAAATAGTATAATTTTGGGAGAAGCAGCATGGACAAGTAGATAGAGACTCAGCCTTCGATTTTGAAAGACCTGGGTTCAAACTCCTCCCTCCACACTCTTATATCCCAATCCACACGTAAGGTCTCAATGACCCTAGGCTAGTGATCTAACTTTCAATTTCTAGGCAACTCTCTAATAGAATAAGTTGCTGACTTGCAGTGGTAAAGGGAGATTCGCTACCTGAGATTTCTCTATAATAATGAAATCATAGGTTTAGTACCTATCCCTCAGGAAACCAGAGTGCATATTCATGAATCTCCTATTAATTTAGTCTCAAAAGTGCCTCCTAATTGAAAAGAATCTAATACATGCACAATGCTTTCAATATTTTGTTTAATCAATGCCATAAAATCCTTTTCAGAGGTATTTCGGACATTTGAGTTTAAAATGGGTCAGCGGATAGAGTGAGTGGAGTTTTTGCCTGGAAGACAGGAACTGAGATCAAATCCTCCCTCAGACACACCTACTTACAAGTCACTCACCTCTCTGAGCCCTGGTTTCCTCAAGCATAAAATAAAGGTATTAGACTCAGTGGTCTCTAAGGTCCCTTTTAGTTTTAATTCTAGAATCCTACTGTCAAATCTGACTGGCTTATTTTGCAGCTGAAGAAGCTAAGTGCCAAAGAAAATTGTCCTTGGTAGAGTAAAAATGAAGTTAAATAAAAGTTGGATATTTCTGCTTTTTCTTTATCATTTTTAATAATAATCCAAATTATCTTAAGTACTAATTCTACATTCTCTTTGCTCCTCCTTCTTTCCCCAAAGGAACAGCTATCATGTCAAATGACAGGATGAGGATACAAGATCTGGAGGGTTTGGAATAAAAGGTCAAATCTAGTAAGATGAAATTCAATAGGGATACATATAATGTACTTTTGTGTACATATAATGTAACTTTGGGTTAATAAAAAAAATATCAGACACAGTTACAATATGGGAGCCACTTCGGACAACAGTTCATGTGAAAATTACCACAGGGCTTTAACAGTAATGGACTGGAAGTTCATCACGTAATGATGAACAAATGCTATTTTAGGTATGTTGGTAGAAGGAGAATGATAGGGATGGAAAGCAGAAAGGCGACAGAGTCACTGTCCTTTGCTCAGTTGAGACCTTATCCGAAGTACTGTGTTCAGTTCCAGGCGTCAAGTCTCATGTGTGGCATTTCGAAATTGGATCACATTGAACGGAAGGCAACCAGGATAGCAAGGGCTCTGAAAACCATTCAGTATAAGGATCAGAGACTCGGGATGATTAGCCTGGAAAAGACAAAGATCATTCTCTGAAGTTATCTCAACAGGAATAAATTCTTTTGGATTGAAAACACTGACTACATTCAGTCCTTAGCATTAGTGATACCAATAGGCTACTACATAACACAGTGGATAGAGAGAGCATTGTACTTGGAATCAGAAAAGACCTGAATTCAAATCCTGACTCAGACATCCACTAGCTGCATGACTCTGAGTAAGTCCTTAACCTCCCTCAGCCTCTGTTTCTTCATCTGTAAAATGGGGATAATAGCATTCACTTTGCAGGGCTATCGTGAGGATCAAATGAGATAAAACTGTAAAGAGGACTGTACACCTTAAAGCACAAGATAACTGCTGCTGCTGCTGCTGCTGTTGTTACTGTTGTTTACTGGAACGATTTACTGGGAGTCAATTGATCTCTGTTCAAATCCTGGTTCTGCTGCTTGCTAGCCATGTGACACTGGGGTGACTATGCTAATCTCTCTGGCCATCAATTTATTTCTAGTAAAATGAGGAGGTTGAACAAGATAATCCCTAAGGTCCCTTTCAACTCCAAATCTTATGATCTTATAGCCTCTCTTACTATATGTTCCTCAGTGGCTGGCACGGACCTCTTCTATTTTTATTTCTCATAGCCCAAAGCACAGATCCTTGCACATAATATTTAATGGATAGGTGTTACATAGTCTTTAGCTGGGTCCTTGTGTCTAGACCTCACTCTCCTGCTTTGCCCAAGCTATCTCACATGGAGCAAAACCGTTCGAATTACTGACTCTTATGCCATGCACCTTCCTTCTTTAATGCCTAGTTATTTGTTAATTATTATTTTTATGCCATAGGCTTCCTCTCTTCCAGGAGGGTTTCTAACACAAACCCTAATCCACTGTTTCCTCTCAATGAATTTTTTTATTCTTGTATACATCAATTTTCATGATCTTTGTTTTGCTTTTGTGTTTTTTTAGGCAATTGGGGTTAAGAGACTTGCCCAGGGTCAAACAGCTAGTAAGTGTCAAATGTTTGGTCTGAGGCCGGATTTGAACTCAGGTCCTCCTGACTTCAGGGCCAGTGCTCTATCCACTGCACCACCTAGCTGCCCCCTCAACTCCTCCATTTTAAAGGTGAGGAGACTAAGACACAGAGATGGAAAGTGGCTTACCCTAAGTCATACAGATAAGAGAAGCAGAGCAACTAAATTGAGATCCTAACTCAGGTCCTTTGATACCAGATCCAGTAGTTTTTCCACTGTAACAAATTATGGTTTACAAGGCACTTTCTCACAATAATCTTGTAAGATATGTAGTATTATTTTTATTCTTGCCATTTTTATAGACAGAGAAGCTAAGATTTAGAGAGGCTTATTCTCTTTTACCACAGCAGTAGATAGGGCACCAGGCCTGGAATCAGGAAGATGAGTTCAAATCTCACCTCAGACATTAATTAGTTGTGAGACCCTGCACAAGTCATTTAGCCCTATTTGCCTCAGTTTCCTCATCTGTAAAATGAGCCAGAGGAGGAAATGGCAAACCACTCTCATATCTTTGCCAAGTAAACTCCAAATAGGGTCTCACAAAGAATTGGATATGATGGAAAACAACTCTCTTTTAACAAGTAACTTGGTTTTTTCAGGGTGACACTTCTACAATGTGTTGGAGCTGGTCTTATGACTGCAAGACAATATGCTTTCACTGCTCTATATCGTCCACATTATTTATATTACTCTACATTATCCAAAAATTCTATCACTTAGCCACCTTCTCTATCTAGCAATGAGATCTAAGTAAAGACACGATGATATGATGGAAAGAGCACTGGTTTTGGAGTCAAATCTTGAGTTCCAGTAATAGCTTTACCACTAACTGACTATAAATTACTTAACTTCCTGACCTTTAGTTTCTTCTTCTGAAGACTAAGGGGTGCAATAAGATATCATATTGCATGCATTACAGCTCAGTGTTTCTACTATATATTTCATGTATAGTCAGGACAGCAGCATTTTCTCTTCTTTACTTCATCAGTGACAGAGTGGTGCCCAGCTCTTACCTCATCCCATCCCCCCACCTTGGATATCCAAGAGAAGGAGATTTGGGTAATTTAAATAAACCTGCTGAATTGGTCCCAGTTGAATACTAGCCCATTGTAGTGGTGGCGGGTGGGTGTGGAATGGTGGGGCTGTACTTAACTATTTGATCTATGGGAAAAGCTGGTGTGGGCAGGAGGTGCCTTTTGGGAATTTTGTCCTTCCTCCAGCTATGGAACAGAGGGGAGCTTTACTTATGGAGCTTCCATATAGTACTGCCATACTGCTGGTTGAGAGCTGCAGGGGAAGACAGAGGAAGACCACCTGCTGGATGCCGTGGGGAGCTGCGGGAGGAGCCGCAGTGGCTGCTCAGAACTTCAAATGATGATATGAGGAGCTTTGGATGAACTACTAGTCATAGAACTTCTTTGCAGGAGAGTGGAGGAACTTCAAGAAGAGATGATTAAGCAAAGCAACACTGTGGAGAAACACAATAGGAGATACATCCTGAGAAGCCACGTTTGAGGCAATGTCTACTTGGATGACTATTCATGGGATGACTATAAATGACTGTCTTTACTAATCTCTGGGACTATTGTTCCTAAATAGGTAATATGATTTTTCCATGAGCTATGTTATCTACCTTATTTGTTTTCTTTTAACTATAAATAAACTTGTTCAATCTTTGAGTTCTATAATTATATGTTTGCAAAGGGACTTGGTGAAAACCAACTCATGATCTTCTCTGAACTTAACTACTCTGATCCTTTATGACAGACAAAAGATTCATTGTCAGCCTGTCTAGGCTGATTCAATGTTGTTCCTTTTATGAAGTTTTCATCCTAGCCAAGCTAGACTACCACCTACCCCTGTTCTCTTTCTAACCTTTCCTATCTTTGCTCATATCATTGCCCAAGCCTAGATTAGACTTTCCTTCAGCTCCATCTATTGAAGTCTAGCCATTCCTCCAAGAACCAACTCATATTCTACCTCCTCCAAGAAGTCGTCTCTGACATCCCCTCAGTGTAAAAGTCAATTCACCCTTCTCAAATTTCCCATAGCCCTTTGCCTGGATCCCTACTTTGGACTTCTCTCACTTTCTTTTTAAAGTGATTTGTAGGGGAAAAAAAAGGATTTTAATGCATTGCTTTTATCAGATAGATCTCCTGTGATTGGTACTGTGATTGGTAATTACTGTGGTAATTGGCAATTACATTACTGTGATTGGTAATAAATAGGGCATATTTATTAGAAAAAATAATGTAAGTACTCAGGATTTAAAGTGGGCACATTTGTATTTTTGACCATTGGATGGTTAAGATGTGCTACATAATTAATTTTTTTTAAATTTAAAATAAATAAAAATAAAAAGGAGAGGGGAAAAGTAATTTGTATATTCAATCTTTCCCCACTTTAATCTGTAAGCTTCTTGAGAGGAGTGTCTTTTGTCCTATCTATCTTTGTATGTCCAGTACTGAGCACAGCGTTTTGCACAGATGTTTACATAGTGCTCTTTAGACTTTAAATGCTATATAAAGCACTGTTACCTTTTGCCTTTGTATCCTCAGCACCCATCCTAGTGCTTGGTGTATAATAAGTGCTCAATAAATGCTTATTGATTAATACAAATTCCTGTTATTTTTACCATTGCCATCATCATCATCTAAATAAATGTTTGTTTAATTGAATTGATTATCTACATTTTGTTTTATCAATGGATTGAATTTTGGGGTGCCAAATTAATCTTTAACAGCATCAGAATCCAGTTGATTAAATGACTTCCTTTAATGATGATAAAAGGTAATAAGAATGTTGTTTGCTGAGATTATTTTGCTTATTCAGTGCTCAGAATAACATCAAATGATTACTTCCCTTTATTTTTTGTGACACATAAGTTCTCTGAAAGCTGTGTCCACATTCGAGAATTCTCAGGCTCCACTTTGTCTTAGCAAACTAGAGGGATGTTATTCAGGTTTGCAAATGCCAGCATATGTCAGCATTTACTTTGCTCCTTCCTGCCCTACTATTTAGCACAGCCATTCACACTGACTCTTGGATTGTTAGGAAAGAGGCAATGGGGAGGAAATGAAGTCAGGACATATGGCTGACAGTTTAAAGTTGCTAATCATAGGAGAGACTATCTTAGTTCTAAGATCTAAGAAAAGGAAAGTACTGTGGTCTAGCCAGTGAAGGAGATGATGATGATGTGATAATGAGAATGACTAATCAGACACTGGCTTTTACTATATCTGCTCTGAAAAAAAAAGAATCATGCAATCATTTCAGTTGCCATAATAAAATATCATTGCCAAAGACCAGAAGTGTTAAAGAAAAGATTTAACTATTTACATGCCAAAAACAACTTGTTTAGGAACCCTGCAAAATAAGCATTTGGTCTAGGGAATCTCTAGGGTCATTTCCAAATCCAGACCTAAGGAATACATGAACCTACAATTTTAGGTGTTATCTATTTTTTCCATTTCTCTGCATGACTCCCTTTCATTGGTACATTGTCTTCTCCCCACAACATGACCTCTAAATCTCAAATTCAACACTTCCTTCATTGAGCATTCTCTTATTGCTTCTGCCCTATAGATGAGCTTTTATTGGGAGGAGTTCCTATAAATTGGGTATCTCATTTAAAAATATTTCATTCATTCATTCATTAAATTTTTTTATTCTGTAACTAATAATAACAATAATAATATTTCCACAGTGCTTTATGGTTACAAAAATTAGGTACTTAAGGCATTTCTTATGAGTAACCTGGATACCAAGAAGTTATATAGAGAATTGGGTTTGATTTATTCTGTTCTCCTGGTGAAGCAAAAGACTTTTGAGTAGATAGAAGAAAAATATTTAATTATATTAAGAAACAAAAAAAATCTATATCTATATCTAAATCTGTTTCAATATAAATACTAATATATTATCCATAGGGCAGACAAGCCAGCATAGCTGAATCGAATCACCCTGAAGGAGAGATCGGTGGCAGCATGTACTACTCCAATCAAACCACTACCACCAAAACCTTGAACACCACTTTGTTTGATGAAGATAATTCAGGATCCAGGAGCCCTAAGAATAGCAGTACTTTCAGTCTAGTTCCCGCAGCCAATTTCTCGCCTTGTTCCTCCTTTGGAGTTTGGAGACAAGGGGATTATATGATATATAGTGGTGGAGCAATATTCTCCAAAAGTACCTCTTTCTTTCTCTAGAAAGAATTCCAAGTGAATGCTCTTATTTGTCAATGCCCTTACAACTTTTAGTGTGTCAATTATTATTATTTTACCATAATCTTTGATGAACCATTAGAAAATATGATTGATAGAGGAAAATGGAATTTGAAAAAGCTTCTCACAAAATCCTTAAATGTGGAGTCTGAGTAGATCAAGTGACCAGACTCAACAAAAATATCAATTAATCTGTGTCAACTTGAAAAGAGCTCAATCCTTGGAAAGCAGTGGAAACATGCACTTCAAGTTTGTATCACATAAAATTGAAAGGTATCTACCATGAATATGTTGGGTGATAGAATCAGGATTCAAAAAGACATCAGTAATTTAGAATGATGATCTGTTTGAAATTAATAGGAGACATTCAAGTCATGCACTTGGGTGGAAAAAAAAAAAGCTGGGAAATCCCAGTAAGACACTGTGATTAGAGGGTAGTTCATATTAAAACAAACAAACAAACAAACAACAAAATCTCTTAGGAGTTGTAGTTGGCTGTAGCCAGCTACCACTCAGCAAGGTATCATAATTTTGTACTGGTCCCTTCTCTTCTCTTCTCTTCTCTTCAACTCCTCTCTCCTCTCCCTCTTTTCTCATCTCTTTTATTGAATCTTATCTTATTAAATTCAGTCCAATGCATTAGCCTATCAAGATTCTTTTGCAATCTGTCAACCAGTGTGTTAGCAATATCCTACAGTTTTGTGTCTTGAAAATCTGAAGGTATGGAAAGTCATGGAAAAAATGTTATGCAGCAAAGGGCTAAACGCTGATGCTTTATGTAGTCTCCTGAAGCCCTCCTGCCACATGGACACTGAACCATTAACAACTACTCTTGAATCGGAGCACCCAACCAGTTGTGAATCCATCTTTTTGCATTATTATCTAACACACATCTCTCCATCTTCTCCCCAAGTGTGATACTTTAGCAAAAGCTTTGCTAAAAATTCAGGTAAACACAATTTCTTCTCCATTGTTAGGTTAGTAATCCTATCAATAAATGATGTGAGGTTAGTTTGGCATGATCTGTTCTTGATAAATCCAAGCTAGTTCTTTAGAATCACTGTTTCCCTTTCTAGATGATTAGCAAATATTTCTTTGATAATCTGCTCTGAATTTTTCCCCAGAAATTGAATTAAATATCACTAATCCATAGTTCACAAATTCCATTCTTTTTCATTTTTTAAAAATTGGAACATATTTTCTCCAATCTCATGATGTCGCTCTTATTTTCTATGATCTTTCAAATAAAACTGACTGAGGCTCATCAATTACGGCTTTGGTTCTTTCAGGACTTGAGGATGTACTTCATCTGGGCTGGGTGACTTGACTTCTTATCAAAGACTACTGTGTGTTCTCTTATCTCCTCCTTATTTTAAGTGTCAGCTCCTTGCAGTGGACTTTTCTTCACTTATTTCTATTGTTAATGTCATTGTCCTTTCAGATAAAACCTAGACAAAAGTTGAATTGCTCTGCCTTTCCCCTGTGATTAGTTATCACCATACCATCTACTGCTATTAATACACCATTAAAAATTATTATTTTTTTTAGCTTTTGGCAATGAAGAAAGGAGAGAGGTAAGTCCTTACAATTTAATTATTTACATTATTTTAAGGGTATTTTTCAGACATACCAATGGTGGAGGGATCATTCTGAGGGGAAAAGTAATGGAAATAACTGGAATAAAAAAATAAAAAGTACCAGATGATTTCAGGTCCTCTTTTTCAAAAAAGTTTTTTCCCTCATCTGCTATCCTAGAAGATAATAATAGATTTTTTCCCCCAGACTTAGGGTTTCATATGGGATGGGGAACTCCCTAAGTAGAAATTCCCCTTCACTGTTACAGATCAGGAGTCATTTGTTACCTGATCATTTAGAGAATTGCTGTGGGGTACTGAGAGATTGAATGACAGTCAACATGTGTCAGAAAAAGGACCCAAACCCAGGTCTTTCTTACCCCATTCTTGACCTTCTATTCATGATGCTGTGCTACCTTTCAATAACAGAATATTTTCATTATTTCTGTTGATATAAAAAAATTCAATAAACATTTATTGGGAATGCAAAGACTAAAGAATGTACAAAAATATTTCTATCTCTCTTAGTAACAAAGGGAATGCTCATTAATTGGGAAATGGCTGAACAAGTTATGGTATATAAATGTGATATAACAGTATTGCACTATAAGCAGAGATGAGGGGGTTTCAGAGAAACCTGGGAAGACTTGTCCAAACTCCTGGACAGTGAA